TTCCCTTTTGTTATTCTAACTCCAGGTCTTTGTACATTTCCTTACAATAATTTACTTTGTCTTTCTTTGCAAGCTGCCCTTGGAAATTTTCTGTTCAGCTCTTTCACTTCCTTATTTCTTCCAGTTACTTTTGCTTCTCTACACTCGAAAGTAAGTTTTAGAGTCTCTTCTGACAACTATTTTGGTCTTTTATTTTGGTCCTGTCTTTTTACTTACCTTTTGTTTTTTCATGGATGATGTTCTTGATGTCATGCCACAACTTTTCTGGTTCATTAGTGTCTAATGCATCAGATCTTTTCTTGAGATGATCTCCAAATTCAGATGGGACGTATTCATGGTTATATTTTGGCTTTCGAAGACCTTTGCAATTTTTCTTCAGCTTCATCCTGAATTTGCATATGAAGACCTTTGCAATTTTTCTTCAGCTTCATCCTGAATTTGCATATGAATAATTGTTGGCCTGTTCCACAGTCGACCCCTAGCCTTGTTTTGACTGATGATAATTGATCTTTCTACTAACTATTCCTATGTTGTTGGACCCATAACAATACAGGATTTCTGAGACTGTAAATCTTTACAGGAGTAGAAATCCTCATCTTTCTCCCATGAAGCAGCTGGTAGTTTCAAACTGCTGACTTTGTGGTTTGCAGCCCGATTTGTAACCACTACGCTACCAGAGCTCCTTATCTATTCCTATAGAAGTAATCAATATGATTCCTGGTATTCCATCTGGTGAGATCCAGTGTATAGTTATGATTTATGTTGAAGAAATATACTTGCAATGAATATGTCATTAATCTTACAACATTCTATCATGATCTCCTATGTGGTTCTAATTATTAAGACCATATTTTACAACAACTGACCCTTCTTCTGTGTTTCTAACTTTTGCATTCCAATCATCAGTAATTACCAGTGCATCTTTATTGCATGCTTGATCAATTTCAGACTGAAGAAATTGGTAGAATTCTCTAGTATCATCATCATTGGCTTTAGTTGGTGTGTAAATTTGAATAATAATGATATTAACTGGTCTTCTTAGTAGGTGTTATATGTATTATGTTATCGCAGACAGCATTATACTTCAAGATTGATTTGAAATGTTCTTTACAGTAATGAACGTGACACCATTCCTTTTCAATTTTTTGTGCCCAGTATAGTAAACTATAAGGAGCTCTGGTAGCGTAGTGGTTACGAATCGGGCTGCAAACCTTAAGGTCAGCGGTTCGAAACTACCAGCTGCTCCGCGGGAGAAAGATGAGGCTTTCTACTCCTGTAAAGATTTACACCCTCGGAAACCCTATACAGGGTCGCTATGGGTTGGAACCGACTCGATGGCACATAACAACAACAATAGTAAACTATATAGGCAGTACCAGTCCATTTCAGCTCACTAATGCCTAGCATGTCAATCTTTATGCATTCTCTTTTATTTTTGACAACTTCCATTTTTCCTATATTCATAGTTCATACATCCTATTTCTGATTACTAATGGATATTTACAGCTGTTTCTTCTCATTTTGAGTTGTGCTCCATCAGCAAAATGAAGGTCCTGAAACTTTAATCCATTCATGTGAATATAGTCAACTCCACTTTGAGGAAGCAACTCTTTCCCAGTCATTTTTTCAGTGCCTTCCATCCTGAGGGCCTTATCTTGTAGCAATATAGCTGAAATTCTTCTGCTGATATTCATGAGGTTTTCAGTGGCTGACCAACCAAAAGTGGTCTGCTTCGCCTTCGTTTTGGTCTGTCTTAGTTTGGAAGCTCTTCTGAGACCTGTTTATCATGGACAACCCTGCTGATATTTAAAATATTAGTGTCATAACTTTTAGCATCACAGCAATACAAGTCCAACACAATTCAGTAAACTGACCGAAGAGTGATAATGTGACATATTAGTTTTTTTTAAAACATATAATTTTGAATTCTATTGGCTTGGCTTATCAGATTCAATATAATTGTTGAGGATTTTAAATTCTATTTTTCTGAGAAATATTGACGTGGGTGTGATCTCAGATAGTTTTCTTAAATTCTCCTAGCATTTGTTCCTTATTTGCAAAATGAAACTTAAACCTGCTTCTTAGGATTAAATGCGTTCTTTAATTTAAAGCATTTAGCATATTTCCTAGAATATAGAATATACATAGTAAAGGGTAGCTATTGCCTTTTTTTTTTTTTTTTGATGTACACCTACCACATTGAAAATATATATTCATTTAAATGTCCAAAGGGCACATTATGCAAGCCAGCCTCCTGCCTGCAGGCCCACTGCCTTTCTCAGTCCATGGTTCTATAGTCCTTTGCTGCTCTGTTTCTCTATGACACCACCTCTGCCACCATCCCTGTTGTTGCTGCTTTTCTGGTTAGGATACCTCGGTCCTCTGATGTTCTTCCCTCTTGATGGTCCTAGGGTCCTCTGTTCCTGAAATGACAGATTAACTGCTCTCCTTTTACTGCTCCACCTCTTCTACATTTACAGTTGTGACAATCACCATTAGACCTAATAATTACTCTTAATTGAATTATACATTCCCATTCTTCTTATCACCTGAACCATTTGGACAAGAGGAAAACTATTCATCATGGTTTCTATCCAATTCCCCTTGTTCAGACACTAAGCACCCTGATACCCTGATGAAAGCCTGTAAGATAGTCACTTCAAGCCTTTATAACCCCTAATTTTGGTAGCTGAAGTCTAATTTGCCTAACCCTATCAACTGGATAGTGAATAAGGAACACCGTAGAAGAATTGACGCTTTTGAGTTATGGTGTTGGGGAAGAATATTGAAAGTACCATGGGCTGCCAAAAGAACCAGTAGATCCGTTTTCGAAGAAGTGCAGCCAGAGCGCTTCTTGGAAGCCAAGATGGCCAAACTTCGTCTCTCATACTTCAGACATATTGTCAGGAGCAGTCACTGGAGAAGGATATCATGTTTGTTAAGGTGGAGGGTCAGAGAAAAAGAGGAAGACCCCCAATGAGATGGATTGGCCAAGTGGCGGCATCGATGGGCTCAAGCGTGTCAACAATAGTAAGGTTGGCCCAGGATCAGGCAATGTTTTGTTCTGCTGTGCATAGGGTCGCTATGGGTTGGTATCAACTCGATGGCACCTAACAACAACAAAAACAATCAACCCAGTGTACAGAGGAGGCCTGCTTAATCCTTGATATGAATCCTTTCCTATTTGGTTGGAATTTTGGGTGGCTTTATCCATAAGCAAAGGTACAGTTGATCGGGTTGTAGCAATGTATGCTTGCTCCTTTTATAATACTTCTTTATCTTCATCTGGTCGAATTTTGGTCAGCAAGCCATCCAAGCTAGATCAAATGAATAGTGTCTGCAAGTTTGGAAGTTCTTGCACACCTCCCCTCTCTTCAGGCCAGCTACCTACTTCACTCTTTTTTTGTTTTTTAATTTGTATCATGAATTGAGTGATAGTTTACATGGTAGAACATCAGTTTCACACTCATTGTTTCATTGCAATGATTACAGTCTCCTCCATGCATCGTCTTCAACAGTATTTGCTTCAATTCCTCATTTTGTTTTTTGGGGGATGTACACAAAAACATTCAGGAATATATAATCATTTAAACAACCAGAGGGTACATTCTGCAAGCCTGCCTCTTGGCTGCCAGCACACAGCCTTTCTCTTTCAGTGAGTCTAGAGTCTTCAGCTGCTCTATCTCTCCATGTCCTCAACCCTGTCTCCATCTCTGGTTTCGCTGCTTCTCTGGATAGGGTCCCGTGTTCTACTCATGCTCATCTCCCTTGATGGTCTTAGGGTCCTCTGTTCCTGGACCGTAAGATTAACTGCTCCCCACATTTTGTTATAAAACCTATACAGTTGTGAAAGTCGCAATTAGTCATGATAACAATTACTCACTATTGAATCATAAGAATCTTATCCCTATCTCCTTTCATCAGACCTGTCTAGACAAGTTGAAAACTATTCAGGGAGGATTCTACCTTCCCACACACACTCTGAAACTAAACTCTCTCTTGAAAACTTGTAACCCAGTCACTTCGTGCCTTTATAGCACCCCCATTTTAGGTAGCCAATGTCTATCCCTATCAACCCTGTATACAGATGAGATAGGATTGATACTTGATGTGAAAACTCTTTCCCTCTCAGTTGGTATTTTGAGCTACTACATCCATAATTATAGGTCATGTTCATCAAATTGTAGCAATTTCACTTGTCTCCTTTATCAAAAATTGATTTTTTATCTTTGTCTAGTTGAGTTCTGATCATCAAGCCATCAAGGCTAGGTCGAATGAGTACTGTCTACAAGTTTGGCCATTTTGTGTGTATCCCCTCATTTCATATCAGCTGGTTGCTTCATTCTCAGCTCTAGCCCTCTGTGGCTATGTCCTTGTCTATGAGTTTACGAGTCCCCAGGTCTCACTACACTTGGGACCAACCAGCCCTTCTTCTTATGTATCTCATCTTGATGGCTGCTTCACTCTTAACTGTAGCTCCCAGTGGCTGGGTCAGTGTCCTTGGGCTCAGAAGTTCACACATCTCCCTGAAATTCAAACCAGCTATTCCATCCTATTCTCTCTTTCATCTCAAGGTCACCGGGCATCTATGAAATATGGCCAAACTCATCCCATGTCTTCTTTGCTGCATTTCCCCCATTTCCACACACAATTTGACCAGAATGGTTGCCAGTGAGCATACAAGACTGTTCATGTGAAGTTTGCTTTTCAGTCTTAGAAATGGGTTTAACTGATGGGTTGACTTTTCTTTCCTTGATGGTCTCAGGGCAAACAATTTGCTTGATATTATCACAGCCAAACAGTCTACTTTTAAAAAAAGAAAATTTTCTCTCCCTCTTGGTCTTTCTTTCAAGAAGTATCTTCTTTTCTTCTTAGCTATTTAATAAATGAATTAAACTATATTTCTTTGTCTTTTGGACAATTATGCATTTTTATTATCATAATGTTTAATTATATTATTTCACTTTTAATGCCTACATGTAATGTTTATCCTTTTACAGATGCTTCTCATTTGGTATTGGAGAAGGGGTTTCCACCAGCCTGATCAAAGGCATTGCTCGTGTAACAGGGGGCACGTCAGAGTTTATCAATGGCAGGGACCGGATACAATCCAAGGTGAGGGATAGATTGTGTATTCAAGGGCAACAGTCAGAGTTCTTATGGAGCAGGGTGGTGGAAACTATTGCAAGAGCATGGGCAACTATGTGACGTCAGATTCTTTTTTTTTTTTTTTCGTATCTTCTCAAGGCCTTGGGCTATATACCTACTGGGGCTCTTTCAGGCTATGTGTAAAAGGGTCCTATCCTAGTTTCTGGGTAAATGACATATTGTTCTAGAAGCTGGGATCCCAGAGATGAGATGATGCTGAAAGAGGTTGGGGTTTTGTGTTTGAGACCAGAGAAAGAAGCTAAGAGATTTATTGTCGTGACTGAGACTCTAGATTTGTGTGTTAGCATTTCTTTTGATCCTCTAACCTATCCTCCATGTACAGGATACAAGGAAATAGGAAATAATGATTATGATATGTCCTATAGATTGGGAGAGTGATAAATTGATTCTCCTGTTGATCCACATGCATAAAGGGAAGATATATTCAACTCTGGTTATGTTTCTAAATTCCTCTTTTCTATTGGATGTCATCTCTTATCTAATCCCTATTTCTCCAGCGACCTCCTTTCCCAAACATTTCCTTTATTAACATTTATGTTATTAAACATCTTAGTCTTAGCTTCCTCATGATATAAAGCAAGCGTAATAATGCCCATGTCCTGATTTTTGACAAGAAGTATTGTATCACATAGCTCCTGGCACATCATAAATAGTCAACTAATAATATTTACCATTACTGCTGTTATTTTTGTGGTTATTTTGTCCTCAGGCTCTTTTGGCTCTGAAGCGTTCTCTGCAGCCTGTGGCAGAGGACTTCTCACTGAACTGGTCTTTGCCTCTTGGTCTGTCTGCTAAATTGCTCTCCCCAGAACAATCAGTCATCTTTAGAGGTCAGAGGTTAATCATATATGCCCATTTGAAAGGGCATATGCCGGTAAGTTCTCATTCCTGCTTTTTCTGCAGTTAGAATAGCTACTTCCCTGTATCCTGTGAAACAGTGTCAGTAAAGCTATAGAGACATACCTCAGAGACACTGCAGGTTTAGTTCCAGACCACCATAAATAAAGCAAAAATGGCGATAAAGTGAGTCATATGAAAATTTTGGCTTCCCAGTACATATAAAAATTATGTTAACGTGGTATTATAGTCTATCAAGAGTGCAACAGCATTATAAAATATTTGTAATATTGCAAGAATTAATAAAATGTGACAAGGAAACACAAAGGAAATCCATGGTGTTGGAGAAGTGGCTGATAGATTTGTTCAATGTAGGGTTGCCACAAACCTTAAATTTATATGTACAAAAATGTATCTGTGAAGTGCAATAAAGCAAATAGCAGTAAAGTGAGATAGGCACTAAGTAGGTGGAGGTGGATTTCATATAGAGACCACACTTTCCAGAAGAAGCTGATTTAGCCATTTCTTCACCATTTCAGAGTCTCTGATTTCCTGAGCAACCAAGATCTTAGTCAGCGTTTTTTTAATGGATGGGAATGGGGAGCTGCTGCAGTTCTGATGCTTCGCTTAGTGATGTCTCTTCTGTCACATCTATTTCTCTCTCATTTTTAGCCCAAAGAGGCAAGAGCAGATGTATGCCTCAAGTACACACTACAGGGCAAGAGTTATGAGAATAAAGTGACATTTTATCTACATCCCAAGCCTGATACCAAGTGAGAATTTGAAATTTTCCTTTGTCGTTTCTTTTCTTTTTTAAAGAATCCATTATTTCCTAACAGTGACATCTCCACTGTAAGCTACCCAAGTCTTTTCTCTCCCCTTGTCTGGCTTTTCTCCCCATCAGCCATCCTTTTCTATTGAGGTCCCTGAGTAACTGGTACGTGTTTATTTTTCCGAAAGTCACAGGAAGTTTTTCGTTACAGCTTCACCATTCACCGCCTTGCTGCCAAGTCCTTACTCCAGATGAAGGACATGGGCTACAGAGAGACTCCAGCCAATGATAAAAAAGAAGTTGTGAAGATCAGCCTTGAGTGTGGAGTCATAAGCTCTCACACAGCATTTATTGCAGTCAACAAGGATCTCAATCAGCCAGTGCAGGGGCCTCTCGTTCGTAGGGATATTCCAAGGCCAATTTTGTTGGGTGCACTCTCAGCAAGGCCATGTTATGGAAGTAAGTTTCATGACACTCAAATGCAGATAGAATGAGTAAGAAGACTGGATAGCTGAGCATGTTATTGAAAGGAAATGGTTGTGGATGGTCCTTAATTTGTCATTTTTCTCTGTGTTTCTGGATTTTGTTGAGAATGTTTTCTGTACTGGAGAATTAGTGTATGTACCATAAAATAATCAAAAGGGGGAAAAACAACTAAAAAACTAGGAAATATTAGTATATACAGGGTACATACGCATGTATAAGTAGTCAAATTTTATAAATCAGAAGCTTATTTGTCCTCTGATGCACATGGTTACTGATCCCACATATAACCGATCAACAACCTAATGGTGGTAGGATATGGGTACTGATTGTAAGGACAAAGTCAGGCATAAGCCAAGCAGGTTTAATTATAGAAAGTGCTGGATTGAAGTTTGGATTGGTGAAGAAACCCTCTGGACAGAGTTGGAGGGGATATGGGATATATTTTAGCAGTTCTGGGGTTGCTCTTCAAAATGAATTCTAGATCATTCATGTAACATTTATTTCATTAAACATTTAGCTACTTCAGTACCTATGACATGGTAGGCATTATGTTTCTCATTGCAGATGCAATTGCTGAAAAAAATACTTTGTCTGTCCCTAAGAAACTTAGACACTAGGGAGTGACTTCGGGGAAATGGATCAAGACAGCAAACAGATGGACAGCTTTTCAAGGAGGCATAAAAAAGCACTATACCACGAGTAAACCCAAGATGTTTGAGAGCATGTGGATTAGTTGTGAAACTCAGTATAGGATGGAGTGTAAATCAAAAATGTCCTTCCAAATAGGCTTCATTTAAAGGAGACCTACAGGGCTAGGTAGATTATTTTGGAAAGGGACAAAAGAGTGCTAAGCTTCAGAATCAGTATCTGAGAAGACAGAGATCAAAGAAAGAATGATATAGATAATTTGGTGTGGCTGCAACACACCAGACAAATTGGAGAATGTGGTCGTATAAAGAGAACAATGCAGGCTCTACATTATAGACATTGAGGATTTCAAGGAACATTGATGTAGACTGATGAGCGATCATCCAAATGAGCACTCTAACCTTTGGGAAGAGCCCCACAATCCAGGTTTGAAAATTTTAGGTGAATGTGAGGAGGGTACAAGAGGTTTATACAATATAAAAAGGTGAATTACTTTTAGGGAATTTGGACCTTGAGATGCCTATAGAATATCCATGAGAACAAATTCACTAGAAATAAAAGCAGATGGGTCAGATGTTCATAAGAGAGATCAGGATTGACAATAGACATTTGGCTATCTTATCATCTAGATAAGGAGCCTTGGTAGTGGTAATGGATAATGACTTGGGCTGCTAACTGCAAGGTAAGCAGTTTGAAACTACCAGTCTCTCTGAAGGAGAAAGGTAAGACTTTCAACTAGTGTAAAGATTAACAGCCTCAGAAACCCTATATAGGGTCATCATGAGTCAGAACCAACTCCATGATACACAACCACCAGCCACCTTTATCTAGATAGTAACTAAAGTCATAGCTGGATAAAATTATTCAGAGAAGTGAAAAGAAATGGGAGGTAAAACTGAAATGTTGGAGACCAACAGTTATCTAAAGAATGAATAGCAGAGGACTCCACAAACAAGATTAAAAAGGATTGAGGTAGGAAGAAAAGTAGTGAGTGCATAGTCAAAACTAAAGGAAAATAAGGTATGAAGAAGGACTTATCTAAGTATCAGATAATGCAAAGAAATAAAATAAAATAAAATATGATAAGAGGATCATGAGTTAAGTATCAAAAATGTCCTGGCTGCTCTTATTAAAAGAAACTTTATTAGACTGATCAGATGAAAATCCACATTATAGAATGTTAGAGAACCAATGAAGGTGCCCTGGTGGTACAATGGTTGAGTGCCCAGCTCTCAACCATTGCTGAAAGGTGCAAACCTCCCCAGCATCTGTGCTGGAGAAAAACCTGGTAAAATGCTCCTTTTAAAGATTACAGACTAGAAGACTATGGGACAGTTCTACTCTGTCAGAAGTTGCTATGAGTTGAAAATCAACTTGGTGGTTCATAACAACAACAGAGTAAATGAGAGACAGGAAATGGTATTGTGACTTGTATAGACACTTGTTACCACTATTTGGTTGAAGAAGGTAAGGGATAGAAGGTGATAACTAGAGAGGGGGTTATAAAGTTGAGGTGGGCTTTTGCATGTTGTGTATCTCTTTATTGTTAATTTTAGAATAGGATATCATGCTGTAGTGCTAACTGAAAGCCATCAGTAGAGAAGAGTATACATACATATATATGTGTTGATTAATTATTAAGAATGTTGAAGAAGTAAAGAGGGAATGGAATCTAGAGAAGCAGTGGATAGATTAACCCTCAAAAGAACAAATGACATTCTCTCACTATGTATAGGGGAAGTTGAGAAAAGTTGATGGGGGTTAAATTTTAGTTCATAGAGAAACAAGTTTTGGGAGTTTCTGTTTGATGGTTTTAAAAATAGTTTTACTGAAATAGACAGCAAGATTAGTTTATGAATATGAGATTGGAGGTTGTTAGTTTTTTTGTATACCATCAAGTTGGTTCCAAATCATAGCAACCCTGTAGAGGGTTTCTGAGGCTATAAATCTTTATGGAAACAAAAAACCTAATTTTTCTCCCTTGGAATTTCTGGTGGACTTGAACTGTTGATCTTTTGATTATCAGCTCAATATGTAACCCACTATGTCACCAAGGTTCCATAGAGTAGTAGATTTAAGGTAGAAGTAGAAAGTTTGAAACAGCCACGGAGAATAGTTGAAAAGTGGAAATCCCCAAGGAGAAATAGAAGGATTTGTCAAGGAGTGTTGAGGGATCAGAGTAATTTGTACAACTTGATGTTTTCTGTGGTACCAAACTACAAAAGAAGGTTTTGGTTTATTTGATTTATGTGACATTTCTCAGCATCTTTGGTATAAAAATGATGGAGATAAAGAGTTGGTTTCCTTTCAAGGAACGTGGGTGTCATAAAGGAACATTAGGGACATAGCTTTTTGACCTGAATTTTGAAATAAGTAGAGAAGACTTAAGAGAGAAGACAGTAAAGATAGATGGAAGTTGGTAGATAGCACAGAAGTAAGGGTGTCAAGGATTTAAAGGCTCAGGTGAGATAAAAGGTAAAGTAAAACAGGAACCTCTGAGTTAGAAAGCAAGAAAAAGAACTATTATATTTAAAAAGTAGTATTTGCTCTTTTGTTTTACAACCTATTTCTTTCAAGTAGAACAATTCTGCATGATAGCAAGAAACTGTCTTGGGAGGGAGTGGCTGAGGAGGAATGGAGGTTTTAGGAAACCATTGGTGTAGAGTAGACCTAGAAGCTTTGAATTAGAGTGTTGGTAGGTTGTTTACATGGATTCTGAAACCATCAAGATGATTATAGGCTGTACTGTGGAGTAGAAGTCACTCTAGTGAATAATGGGAAGTGACAAAGATGTTGAAAGTTGGCAGTAATGATGTTATGTAGAAGGTAACACAAGTTGTCGTGGAGAAGAAATGATATGGATTTTGTATTAAAGACTGAAGAAACTTACCCTGACTCCAAATTTGAATGTTTGGATTGTGATTAATCAAGCAACAACAAAGTGAAGGTTAAATGGAAAGCAGTTCTCTTTGGAGGGCAAATTAGATTTAAGTTAAGACAGTTTCAAGAAGCAGTGTAAAAACATAATGTTTAGTATGTATCATGGATTCCAAAGGACTTGACAAAAAAGACTCAGAGGTAAGGATTTCTGTGTGAAATTGTCTTATAGCAAAGGAAAGATGGGATGATGTAAGTGGTACCCATGGCTGATGTGAATTGGAAGAAATATGTCTCCAATACTAGGACCCTCTGCCTACTTCAGAGAGCAGCAGGTGCTTCAACATCAATGTATGTACTGGTGTTTTTCAGCTTATTCAAAGGCCTCCTACTTTATGCCTCCAGTTGAATGCATGGGAAGCATTCCTTATTTCTCGAGCATGCCATATCATCCAAGAAACAATGGAAGCTCAAATATTTTCGGTCGCTGTAGGCCAATGAGTTACAGAGAAATGTACACTCTAGGTAAGTATCTTTCTAGAGACTCTTTCTCACCAATGTTTGTCTGTTATACATATAGAAAAGGGCAAGTTCAAAGCTCCATTTGCCCAACAAATGAAGAGATGCATGGTTCTCCAAGAGGCCTGCCTTCAGATGGAAAGTAGTCGTTCTTCCACCAACAGGAACAACTTGGAAACTGACCAGGCAGGTGAAGGTGGGCCTCAGTTTGTTTCTATGACCTATGGCAACTGAAGAGCTACTTTTCCATGCTCAGTGCTCTTGTGGCTAGACCAGTTGGTAAACAATTTGAAAAATGTCAGAGGGTGAAATTTGTTCATTCTCTTGATTTGCCATGGTCATTCTTACTTAGTATACCTTATAGGACATTGAAACCTGCTGCCCTAGTGAAGTGTGGGGTAGGCTTAGTTAACAAATCGTTCTAACCTCACAGAGCTTATCTGCAAACTGAGGCCCTCCTCTTGTTTTCTTTTGCAACTTATTCTTGATTTGCTCAATTTCTTGCTAGTTAAAAAGTGGATTCAGATTCTCTCTGCTCTCACTTCCTATGTGCATTTGTTGTTGTTAAGTGACATGGAGTCGGTTCTTACTCATAGTGACCCTGTATAGGATTTCCAAGGAGTGGCTGGTGAGCTTGAACCACTGACCTTGCAGTCCAGTGCATTAACCCTCAGTGCCACACCAGGACTCAATGTGAATTTGGTCAATTAAATTTTCTTTACTCAAAGTCTTAGTTCCCTCAGTTGTACATCAACCCACTATTTATAGTGTTATCATGAGAACTTTGTTATGTAACCCACAGAGTAGGTTCTGAATTTATGTTGATTTCCAATCTCCATCCTAAAATTCCTACAATGCAAATCTCTACTCCAAGATTTCTCTCCTTATAAGTCCTGTCATCTTTTAAAAAATTAGAAAGAATAACTCCCCAGCAGTTCTATAATGTTGGATTTTGTAAATTAATAAAAGCAGATATTCATGTAGAGACTCTACTAGGGGCCAGCCTAGTTAATTTGCAAGTTTACGCATGTTTTTCAGGTTGCAGATGAAGAGAATGAGGTTCACATCGGTTAAATAACTTTTACACTTCAATCATAGTAACAGAGTTGAGATTCAAACTAAGACTTGAAATTAAGAGCCTTTGTTTTGTTTTCTTGTTCTTTTTTTAATTAAAGAGGGGCTTCAAAATTTTTTTTATTTACAGGTTTGTTTGTTTTTTGTCAGCTAATTTCTAATATGCTCTAAGTTCATTTTTCCTATGAAATCATGGTGTGGAACCTTAGGATAAGCACTGGACTGCAATGCAGTTTGAACCTCAAGGTTAGTGCTTCAAGCTCACCAGCCACTTCTCAGAAACCCTATACAGAGTCGCTATGAGTCAGAGCTGACTCCACAACACTTAAAAGCAACAACATATAATAGGTAGCCAGATGTAAAACACTTCCTAAGATGATTATATAGTCTTTAAATAATTTTCATGCCTACAGAATTAGACACTAATCTGCTTTCTGAAGTAGACCGCTTCTTGATATCTGCTTTCTTTTGAAATGATTAATAATTTAAATTCCAGCTGTGTTTGTATAGATTTAAAAACATATACTTAATGTTTTAAAATTCTTTTCAGCAATACATCATCACACTTTGAAAGAGCATAACCGCTGGCTTCTTTAATATCCTATCTTTTCTCTTGTTGATGTGTTTGCAGTGCAACCCCTCTGGGGTCAGTACATCATGCTTTTAGCTTACATTGTCACAGTGAAAATGCACATCTCTTAGGGGAAAGGTTAAAGTGGGGATCTTGGTAGGATCAGCTTGCCTCTGTACTCTTCCTACAGCTTATCTCTCTGAATTCAGCAATCCTTTCTAAGGTTGTTAACTGGGCAGTAGTTCCATAATTCCCTGTCTTCTTTTTTCCTCCAAAGTTTTTGGAGACAATCATCTTGTGCAGCTAATTTCACTCCAAAAGGCAGATGGTTCTTGGGATGTGAATGAAGGTCTGGCCTTGGTCCTAGGGATGAGTGTGGAAGATATACTGGCTGGCTTTCCTTTTAAGGTGAGATTCCAAGAAGAAAAATTAATGTGTGTGTATGTATGTTTCTTTGAAATGGTGGGACAATAATGAGAACTGAGGGTGGGTCAGGACCCACCTGAGGAAAGAAAATATAAGTTGTTGTATATTAATTTTTACTGTCTTAACATTTTTTCAAAAAAATCAAATGCCTTACATAAATTTAGACGTACTAGGTTTGTCAAAAGAAAAAACACATCTGTCTTTGAAGAAGCTGTTAGAATACTGTCTTGGAAAAGCAAGGATGGTAAGTCTTCATCTCATATACTTTGGACATGTTGTCAGGAGGGATCTGTCCCTGGAAAAGGACATCATTGTTGGAAAAGAAGAGAGTCAATGGAAAAGAGGAAGACCCCTAAGGATATGGATTGACATAGTGGCTGCACAATGGGCTAAAACGTGACATCAGTTGTGACGATGGTACAAGACCAGGCAGTGTTTTGTTCTGTTATGCATTTGGGTCTTTATGAGTCAGAAGTGACTAGACGGCACCTAACAACAATAACAGATCTTTTAATTGCCTGAATTTATTGTCTGTTACAATGGCAAAGAATGAAAGTTTAGTCTCACATATGTTGTCTTCTCAGTGAATCCCAGAACTTCATCTGGTATCCTTTGACAAGTGATCACAAATTTATCATTGAATCATTTCTTTTAGCATCATCTTATCGAAATACAATGTAAGACACATTAGCATGTAATTTAAAATTTTCTAATAATTTATTTTCACTTTTAAATAGGAAAACCGTGGCTACTAGAAAATTTATATTTTAGCATATGTGTCTTGCCAATAAATCTAGACAGATACCTAGTGAATGTATTTGTATTTTAGCTATGTTGGTGTGTTGTTAAGTGCTGTGGAGTCGTAGTTATGAGTCAGAATGACTCATAGTGATCCTGTACAGGGTTTCTGAGGTTTTACATCTTAATGGGAGCAGACAGCCTGACCTTTTCCCCACAGAAATGATTCTATAGACAGTAAAAAGAAGTTGAAAATACAAGATGGGTAAGTTACACTCAGACAGAGATGTCAGCTTAACTGATAGTTGGGATTGGAAACAGGTATTGTTGATAGATGTTTCCAAGGACATAGGATGATCATGGAGGCTTAGTATGGAAAACTTTAAAGAAAACTGAAAACTTCACTGGTGAGACCAGAGACTGGGAAGTTGTGCTGAGGAATTGTTGTCCTTCATGATAGTGCATCTGCTCATTCTTTGAGGGTAGCAAGGATTGTCCTCCAAGAATTTCATTTGGAAACCTAACCCCATCTACCCTATAGCCCTGATCTTGCCCCTTCAGAATACTTTTTGTTTCACAAACTCCAACATTTAAATGCAAATGATTGAGTCCCTCAAGGATGTCAAAACTGCTGTTTTGATGTGGCGTAATGTGGTTACGAATCGGGCTGCGAACCATAAGGTCAGCAGTTCGAAACTACCAGCGGTTCCGCGGGAGAAAGATGAGGCGTTCTGCTCCCGTAAAGATTAACAGCCTCGGAAACCCTGTGCAGGGTCGCTATGAGTCGGAACCGACTCCACGGCACATAACAACAACAACAACAAATCAGAGTCATGCTGTGGCGCTGTGGGTTAATGCACTAGACTGCAAAGTCATTTGAACGGCAAGGTTGGTGGTTCAAGCTCACTGGCTGCTCATCGGAAACCCTATACAAGGTCACTATGGGTTAGAACTGACTTGATGGCACTTAAGTACAACAAAATACAATTAAAAAGCAAAGAATTCTTTGGGGAAGAGTTAGAGAAATGCAAACACCTAGATGGAAAATATATTATGCAACAATAGTTTCATAGTTTAATTGTTTTGTTTAATAAGTGATTCTATGACTTTATAGCAATATTTTTTAAACTTATATATATATAGTCTTGTGTGGTACAAGCCCCTCCTAGAAAATCATATACAGGGTTGCTATCAGTTGGAAACCAACTCGACATCCATAACAACAACAACACATACACACACGCATATATATATATATGTATCACTGTGATGTTTGCTTTTGGATACCTTGGGGACACTTACTGCTTTGACATAAGAGGAAGAATGAAAGGAATTGAGGATTTTGACCTCAAACAAGTCTTCTCAGACAGGACATGATAGCTGTGTTTTAAACTTCAAAGGTCTTGATATAAAAGAGGAGTTTCCCTTGATCCATTTGACTCTAAAATATGAAGATAGGTCCAGTGGGTGAAAACTCATGGGAGACATTTTCTGCTCTGTGACTGACATTTTCTATAAAGTAATATATTATAAGACATTTTAGAATCACAATACTTGTCCCAGCATCATCATTTGCTAGAAAATGAACTTAGTATAAATCAAGTTTTCTCTCTTAAAGTTACAGTTGTTGATAATTCTTTATGGGGTTGGGTTTACCATTGGTTTTGTTGTTTTGTTTTTCGTTAATTATTTATTATTTTTGATGTTGAGGGTTCAAATTAAAAAAAAAAAACAACTTGAAGGCAATTTATAAAATATAAAGTAACAATTCATAGGTTTCTGGTATGACATCTAGGTATTTGGGGTATTTCAAGGGGTTTCAAACAAAGGACTGACTGATAGTTACAATGGATTTAAAACTTAAACCCTTTCTTTCCTAAGACTCAGTGAATCATTACTTTGAGTTTCAGAACATGGCACTATGACTTACTTACAAATAGTAGATAAAGGTACAAGATATCCATTTAGTAGAAGTTTAGGAAGTGGTCAGTGAGGAGGAAGTAGAGTGTTTTTCTTCCTGTGAGCAACTTCCTATGTCAACTTGGAAGCTTCAGGAAAGTCTCTGTCTGTTATACAGGATATGGATTCTGCAGGCTGGGCTACCGTCCTGGCTGTAATCTGGTTGCATGTCCGGGGTAAGGATCTGCAGAGTGAGTGGGACATGCTGGCAAGGAAGGCAGTGGCCTGGATTCACATTAATGTAGGTAAGTGAATAACCCTGAGACGCCTCCTTTCCTTTGGAAAGCCAGTCATCTTCCCAGTCACTGTACCTCCAGTTCTGATGGTGTATGAGGGACAGATAGAGTTCTCATGCTCACATCCCCTCCACCATGCCTGGTTCAGATCTTATTTTGGTCTCTTAGCTAGTTCTTTCCTTTACACAAATGAAAGTGGGAGAGCAACACCTAAGACTGAGGGGTGAGAAAAGATGGAGAGGGACATGCATGGGGATTCAAGCTGTGGCAAGAATGTGAAATGGCATTTATTTTTGGTACCAAGTTGTATATAATACTTGAATTGAAGCATTTGTTTTTTGAGGTTCTTATTATATCATGGTGCTGAGTATTTCTAGACCAAAGAAGATTCAAGGGAAATCTCAGCAATAGGAAGAGAAGTCCAGACATTTGAGGGAAGGTGGTGGTGGTAGTGATTGTATGCCGTGGAGTCGGTTCCGACTCATAGCAACCCTGTACAGGGTTTCTGAGCCTGTAAATCTTTACAGGAGCAGAAAGCCTCATCTTTCTCCCGTGGAACAGCTGGTAGTTTCAAACTGCTTACCTTAAGGTTCGCAGTCCAATTCATAACCACTACGCTACAGAGTGGGAGAAAATTAGGGAGGTATAAGAGTGCCTGAGAGAAGTCTTCACCAGTGGTCTCTGGATTCCTGATTCTCTGTTTCCCTTCTATTACAGGCTCTGCCATGCATCAGCTTGTGGAAGCTGCTGTTTGTCTCCTGAAGTCAAATGTGGATCCTAAAAAGATAACTCTCTGAGGGTACCATCCAGAAACACAAGCTCTTCTCATCTTCTCTCCTTCCTTTACCACCTCTTTTGCTGTGATGCATACTTGCAGTTTACGCCTTTTCTGTCAGTTTTCTGTCATACAAATACAGGATACCTACCCCATACCTCCTCTCTGTTTCCCAGCCCCCTTGAATGCAATCATTCTGTTCCCCATCATCAGGTCCACTCAGGCAAATGTCAATGGCCCCAGAATTTGTTCCCTTTCTTGTAGGAGTCCTAAGTACTCATAGAAAGTAATGTTTCTCCTAATTTTTCAGAACAGCAGCAAAAGAACTCTTAAAGATTGCGGTATTGATGTAGCACTGTAGGATAATAATTGGACTGCTAGCCACAAGTTGGTTCAAACTCATCAGTTGCTTCTTGGAAATTATATAAGCTCACTATGAATTAGAACCAACTCAATGACACTTAAAAACAACAGCACCAGTAAGCTTATACTACATTCTTTCCTCCAACTGCCTGAGCACTTTGAGTTGAGATATTTGGAGGCAGATGTTTCTTCTTGACCATTAATTAAACTTCTGAGAAAAAGGTCTATGGTGAAATGGAGTCCTGGTGTGGTGCTGTGGGTTAATGCACTGGACTGCAAGATTGAATTGAACCACAAGGTTGGTGATTCAAGCTCACCAACCACTCCTTGTAAACCCTGTAAACGGTTGCTATGAGTCAGAACCAACTCCATAGAGCTTAACTACATCAACAACCTGAGCCAATGAGCCCTCTACGTTAGATTCTGATCTAATGTAATTAAGGGAAGATCAATAATGTAGCATTGCCTGAGACCTGAATGTGGGACATTCATCACCTCATGTGGATGAAAGGAAATCCTTCCTCATTCATGATCTCTTCAGACCCTTCTGTCCACATACCCTATCTTAATGGAAATGACTCTATTTGACCTGTTGTCCCTTAAAATATTAATGTATCCATAATAAAATGACTTGCTACACTGCACTTCGTTGTACCCGGTCTGTTTTAGATCCATTCGTTGGATCTGCATTGGTTTTACTGTCCTTCATTTTCTTTCCCAATTTTTCTAATGCCACAACTATTCACATTTTCTCTCCATTTGTTCTGTGGTATGCTGGTTTCATTGGCGTGTAAAATAACACTAGTCAGAAAACCACAGAATCCTGATCAAAATGCTAAACAGTTATGTGACCATTGGTAAAAAAATTTAAACCTTTTGGAGTTTAATACCTACCTTGGTTATCTAGTGTTGGTATAACAGTAATAAGCACAACAGAATAGAAACTCAATTATTTCACGGAAATCTGAATTCAGAGTGCAGTCTCTGGAGATAAGTCCTTGTCTCCTTTCAGTATCTATAGGTCCAGCGTTCCTTGAAGATCTCCGTGTGTGTTGGCATCAATCTTTCCCTGTATCTAAGAGCTTCACAGTGCAGGGACCTAGGTTCAAAGTACACACTACATATGAAGCTCTTCTTCTTGGTGGTGTAAGGTCCCTCTTCTCTGCTCACTACTCCTTCCTTCCTTTTATGTGTTGTAAGATAAAGGTGTTGCGTAATACACCCCTGGTAATCTCCCTTGCATCTCTTCAAGGTGTTGATGGAAATAAGTATAGTTCCATCCTTAGTTAAGGAATTAATGTCCCACCATTAAGCCTTGTATTGGTTTATCACGGCAGATCACATCATAGAGGATCATCACATAACTGCCAAAACACTAAGAATATATAAATATAAAACAAGAATGTCTAAATATAAAGCAAGATGGTAGAGGATTGATGAAGACAAGTGAAGACACTGTAAGGAATGCAAGGGTTAAAGGGGATAGAAATAAATCCTGTATCATAAACACTGTTCAAAGTGTAGATACATGGGCAAATGCTTAGGCTGAGTGGTTATGGGCAGGAGAGCAGGAATGTAACCTCAAATATATAAGGATTTGACAGAGGATGGTTGACATAGGATGCAAGCATACCTATGAGTGTGGTGGCAAAATGATAAAAACTTCTTGGTGGTGGTGTTAGGTTTTGTCAAGTCAGTTCTGAATCATGCACAACAGAACAAAACTCTGTCTTGTCCTGTGCCATCCTCACAATTGCTATTACCTTCGAGACCATTGCTATTGCCACTGTGCCAATCTATCTTATTGGGCACCTTCCTTTTTAGCTCTGACCCTCCACTTTACCAACCATGATGCCCTTCTGCACCATTGGTCCCTCTTGATAATGTCTGAAGCATGAAAGATGAGTTCTCATCATCCTGGTATCTAAGGAACATTTCTTGCTGTACTTCTTCCAAGACAGATTTGTTTGTTCTGGCAGACAATAATATTTTTAATACACTTCTCCAATACCATAACTCAAATGCATCAATTCTCCTACACTCATCTAATTCATTGTCCCACTTTCATATGCATATAAGTCTACTGAAAATGCCAGGGCTTCAGTAAGGTACATCTTAGTCCACAAACGGACATCTTTGCCCTTGAACACTTTAAAGAGGTCTTGTGCAATAGGTTTGCCTAATGCAATATGTCTTTTGATTTCTTGACTGCTGCTTCCATGAGTGTTGATAGTAAATACAAGCAAAATGAAGTCTTTGACAACTTCAATATTTTCTCCGTTTATAATGATGTGATTTATTGGTCCAGTGATGAGGATTTTTTTTTTTTTTTTTTAAATGTTGAAGTACAGCCCATACTTAAGGTTGTGGTTTTTGATCTTCATCAAGAAGTATTTTAAGTCCTCTTAGCTTTCAACAAGCAAGGTTGTATTTTATGTACATTGCAGGTTGTTAATGAGTCTTCTTCCTATCCTGATATCATGTTCTTTATATAATCCAACTTCGTGGATTATTTGATGACCATACATACTGAATAAGTATAATGAAAGAATACAATGCAGGCATACTCCTTTCCTGACTTTAAAGCATTCAGTATCCTATTGTTCTTTAGTAACGACTTGCCTGTGGGTGCATGTACAGATTTTTCATGAGCACAATTAAAGATTCTGGAATACCCATTCTTCACAATGTTACCCATATCTTTTCATGATCCACAAAGTTGAAAGTTTTTGCATAGTCAATAAAGAACAGGTAAACATCTTTCCGGTATTCTTTGTTTCAGCCAAGGTTCTTCTGACATCAGAAATGATATCCCCATTTCAAGTCCTCTTCTGAATCTGGCTTGCACTTAAGGCAGTTTTCTGTAAATGTACTGTTGCAATAATTTTTTTTTTTTTCTTAAATGTTTTATTGTGAATTATGCGATAGTTTACATGGGAGAACATTAGTTTTACATTCATTCTATCGTATATCATTGAATTGCCATGGTTACAATCCCCTCCATGCATCATCAACCAACCAAAGGGTATACCCTGCAATCCTGCCCCCCCGTACCCCCCAGGTCTTCAGCACACAGTCACTCTCCCTCTCTGGATATAAAGTCTCCAGCTGCTCCATTGCCCCACGTTATCATCTCTGCCTCCATTTCAGTCATCACTGCTTCTCTGGGTAGGGTCCCGCTCTCTGCTCTTCTCCCTTGATGGTCCTAGAGACCTCTGTTCCTAGACTGAAAAGTTAATCACTTCCCTCCTTGCTATAAAAACGTCTGCCTTTACATTTCTGACCCTCATAATCAGTCCTGATAACAATTATTCACTATTGTATCACAAGAGACCAGTCTGCATTTCATTGCATCAGCCCAGCCTACACATATTGAATACTACTCACTGGAGAGTCTACCTTCCTCCAGGCCCTCTGGATCTAGGTTCCCTCTTGAAAGCTTGTAAGCCAGTCACTTCTTGCCTTTGTAACCCCCCACCCCCCATTTTGGGTAGCCAATGTCCAAGTTACCCATCCCTGTCTACTTTGTGTGTGCAGGGGGTGGGAATGATTCTTACTGTAAGGATTTATTCCCTCTTTTGAGCTACTGCTTCCATAGGTGTAGGTCAAGTTCATCAAATTGTATGAGAATGCTTTTTTTTTTTCCTCTTCTTTTTACTTCTGGTTGAGCTCTGATCATCCAGTCATTGAAGCCAGGACAAGTGGGTATTATTTGCAAGTGTGGGTGTTTTTATGCATATGCCCTCTCTTATTATCAGCTGGACGCTTCACTTTCTGCAGTCAATTTTAAATAATTTTTTAGCAAACTTTTTTTTTAATGTTTTATTGTGAATTGTATGATAGTTTACATGGGAGAACTTTAGTTTTACATTCATTCCATCGTATATCATCTCACTGCCATGGTTCCAATCCTCTCCATGCATCCTCAACCACCCAAAGGGTATATACCAGAAACCCGCTCCCTACACTTCCCCCTCCTCCCCCCAGTTTTTGGCCCACAGTCCCTTTCCCTCTCTGGGTCCAAAGTCCCCAGTCACTTCATCACTCCATGTCATCTCTGCCTCCATCTCAAGCATCTCTGTTTCTCTGGGTAGGGCCCCGCTCTCAGCTCTTCTCCATTGATGGTCCAAAATTTTAATTGCATGTGATATTAATGATATTGTCCAATGATTTCCACATTCTGTTGGGTATCCTGTCTTGAGAACAGGTACAATTATTGATCTCTTCCAAGCGTTTTACAGGTACCTGTCTTCCAAATTTCTTAGCATAGATGAGTGAGTTCCTCCAGTGCAGCATCACTCTAGTGCTGCATTAGTTTGTTGAAAGATTTCAATTTGTATCCTACCAATTCTCTGAACCTTGTTCTTTGCCAATGACTTCAGTGCACCTTCGGCTTCTTTCAGTGCCATTGGCTCTTGATCATGTGCTGCCTCTCAAAATGATTGAGCATGGACCATTTCTTTTTGATACAGTGACTCTGTATGTTTCTCCCATCTTCTTTTGATACTTTCTGCTTCATTCAATGTTTTGCCCATAAAATCCTTCAATATTGCAAGTTGAGGCTTGAATTCTTAATTCAGTTATTCCAACTTGAGAAATGCTGAGCATGCTCTTCACTTTTAGTTTTACAACTACAGGTCTTTGCACATTTCATTATAA